ACCGAATAGTGATTTTCACTATTCGGCTGAATATGAATAGCAGGACCAACTATTCGGCCGAATACAAATACGAATACTAATAAGAATAGTGTATAGTGTATAAAATATATCTAAAAAACACACATTTATAATGTCAAATGTACGCTGAACTTTTACTTTACATAAAGTAGCACAGAATAGTCATCTTCTTCTTTAGCATTCTGGGCCCTTGAGGTTTACTGCTGCAGATATAGTCTCCATTCATCTCTCTGGCTAGCCTTCTCTTCACAATTTGTGACACCAGTTGTTTGCAGGTCAGGCTGGACATCATCTCTCGAACTTATTTTTCCTCTGCCTCGTGGTCTACACCCATTCCTCTCTCAGGTGTATAGAGTTTTTACTTCTCTGTCATCTGAATCTTTTTCAATGTGCCCCAACCATTTTAGTGTGTTAGCTCTCATGATGCCAGTGATAAATGGCACCAAGTACTTATGTGTTTCCATTCGTCTGATTTTCATATTATCGACTTGTATGTGGCCGGAGTTTATATTCTTTCCATGTCTAGTTAGTATTCGTACAGAATACTAATTATTCAAAAACATTTTATGTTCTGCATCCTTCAGTCAGTCTGTGGTAACTAATAACTAGGAATGAAAGAATCCTAAGTATTATAACAAGTAACTAAACTTGGAAATTGTCACAGGCAGCTTGGTTAATGCAGGAAATCTGCATTAGCTTTCAACAAAAACCAGTCGTTCATTTTGTCAGCATTAAGCTGTGTATGCAGAAACGGGTGTAAGATAACTACTATTCGTACTCGGCCCGACCACAACTATTCGGCCGAATACCGAATAGTCAATAGGTCTACTTTTCGGCCCCGAAGCGAATACGAAGCGAATATTTGGTACAGCCCTAATACATACATACATGCGTACATACATACATACATACATACATACATACATACATACATACATACATATATACATACATACATACATACATACATACATACATACATACATACATACATACATACATACATACATACATACATACATACATACATACATACATACATACATACATACATACATACATACATACATACATACATACATACATACATACATACATACATACATACATACATACATACATACATACATACATACATACATACATACATACATACATACATACATACATACATACATACATACATACATACATACATACATACATACATACATACATACATACATACATACATACATACATACATACATACATACATACATACATACATACATACATACATACATACATACATACATACATACATACATACATACATACATACATACATACATACATACATACATACATACATACATACATACATACATACATACATACATACATACATACATACATACATACATACATACATACATACATACATACATACATACATACATACATACATACATACATACATACATACATACATACATACATACATACATACATACATACATACATACATACATACATACATACATACATACATACATACATACATACATACATACATACATACATACATACATACATACATACATACATACATACATACATACATACATACATACATACATACATACATACATACATACATACATACATACATACATACATACATACATACATACATACATACATACATTCAAACGTACGTATGTATGTTTTTTCACCACTTTTGGTCTTTGGAGTTTAAAAATGTGTCAATGAATACGGTCTGTAAATCACTCTAAAAACGTTATCTTATGGAAAATAGACCAGGACCTCAGCCTTAACAGCTGATCCAGAATGGAAGACCCCACAGTCGGACAGACAGAGCATTGCTTATCTGACCCAGCAGCTTTTGCTGCATGCTTTGTTCCAAATATTCTGATGTCACCTTTCTTTTGGAGTAATCAAGGCAGACTGAGGGAAGAATCATGATGCTTGGGCAACATATGGTCTCTAAAATACTGCCCAGGCTTTGTGCTATGTAGAGGAAGAACTTCATCCCTGGTCTTAACTAGTCTTAGAAACATATCGAGAGGCAGCAGTTACGGTTTTAGGTCCTTGTCCACTTGCGTAGACCAGGTCGTCACCGGTTGCCTCTGGCGGTAGGGGACATTTTTTAATGTCACTGATCAGCTACCGCCCTCTTCAAGCAGGGTAGCCTCCGGCCAATAAGGTCTTGATGCGCTACACAGCCTGTGTGCGTCAGTAAATACTTGGAGCTAGTATAAAATCCGCATCGTAGGCTGTAAAAAACCAATGCACCAGGCACACAAAAAATAGCATAACTTCAAGCTACGGCTTGCCTTGAAATAGGGAATGTCAGGACTAAATTTCCTGGGGTTTCCACTGATCTGGAAAATATTGTTGTGAGAAAAGCGGCTATCATTGATGCCAACAGATTTGACATAGATATTGCTGGCCTACAGGAAACACAGTTCTTCTTTATGGAGCGGAATGCTGGAGAATGACCAAAAAGGATGCACACAAGCTGTCCACCTTCCACCACACATGTCTACGTAGAATTATCAAAATTTTCTGGCCAGATACAATCTCAAACACTAAACTACTTCAAGCCACAAACCAAGAAACTTTCGACAGTATGATTACCAAGAGAAGATGGAAATGGCTTGGCCACGTTATGAGAATGACTTCTGATATACCTGCCAATTCAGCTCTCACATGGACACCAGAGGGAAAGAGAAAACAGGGGCGCCCAAAAACAACATGGAAACAAACGATGGAAAGTGACCTGAGTGCGACATCTTTGACATGGAAAACTGCACTGAAGATTGCACAGGACAGGAAAGCATGGAAAGTCTTCTCTGAAGCCTCATGTGCGACTAGGCATAACGAGAATTGATATACTGATACAGGAAACACGCCTCCTAAAGGATGAGTCCATTTAAGAAAATAATTATACCTTCTTTTGGAAAGACAGCGACCAGGAAGAAATGCGGAAGTATGCAGTGAGACTGCAGTAGAGAATTCACTGTTGGGATCAGGTGAGAGTCTAACTGAACGAAATTGCAGAATATTGTCCATTCGATTGTCTACCTCAAGTGGTTTTATCTATCACCACTGTTACTGCATCTGCACATAACATAACGTCAAATGAGGCTGCAAAAGGGTTATTTTTAGGAGGAACTGGAAAATGCAGTGACAGCAATTCCTAACCATGACGGCATCTACCTACATGGCAATCTTAATGTTTGCGTGGGCTCCATGAAAATAAACACAACAAAACTGTTATTTGAACAGTTCTAAGTGTCAACAAACACATCATAAACATTTATAGTTCTACGTGTTTATTTTGTTTAGGGAGTCTGGCAAATGGAAGCATGAACAAATATAGCCAATGTTCACAAATCAAATTTTTTTTTCTCTCGTTGTTCATCCTTAAAATGACGGTTGGCTCGTTGGTATGGTTTACAGCTAGCCGCGGTATTTTGACCAGACATCTAGATTTCAGTCGCCTTTTACGACATGCTTGTTCTCGATTTTTTTCTATAACAGGGCTGGGGAACCAAGTCAATAATAATTTCGGAGAAACCAGGAACAAAATCATTGTTTCCTTTTCATTCGATGTGGATTGGACGTATTTATTTACAATAGTGATTTAATTTGCTCACATACGTAACCAAATATTTATAAGCAGTGAAAACATGATATGATATAATGGAATAGTGCATCTTGTGGTCGTTACGACTTAATAACCATCATTAGAATATTAGAAAGACATATCGCAGGCCGCATTAGAGTTCATAAAATGCCGCACATGGCCCGCGGGCCCTATATCTGACACGCACGAACATGGTCTAGATTAGCGTTCTTCAACTTGTCACCACGTGCGGACCGGGAAGAGAGAAGCCCCCTTCCCCCCCCCCCCCCTCCCACCTCCGTCCACATGCCGCTGTCGGCTAAGGTTCAAACAGAAACAAATACACGTAAAAATACGGGAGGTGACATAGTGTAGCGGCTAGACGTTCTACTACCGATCGGAAGATCCTGGGTTCGTGTCCTGACGGAGCAGGACTTTTTTTTTTCTTTTCAAAAATCACTTTGGCTCTTAGGTCGACCCAGCCTCGAGTGGGCATTGGGTACAGTCCTGGGAAGCAAAAGCGGTCGGTGTGATACTGACCACATTACCCACTCAATGCCAGTAGGTCTAGGAAACATAGATGCCCAATACATCCGAAGACGTGGAAAAGGGTCCTTTACTTTTACTTATGTAAAAATACATTTTACGACGTCTCAGAAAGGTTAGGTTGCAAGCTCTTCCAATGTAAGACTCTCGTGCCTAGTCTGAAAGTCACAAGAATAGTCCTTTAAAAAAAAAAAAAATTCCACCAACAATTAAAAAGAAAGAGCACAAAATACAATAAAATAAACAAAATTAAACATCGTGAAAAGTTATAAGATAAACACTAGTGAAAGGGTCTGAATTAATATTTTAAAAACAAACAATATACTTGTTTACTTGTCAACAATGACAAGAAATAATGAAATAAAGACAGGCCAACATTAACACACGGTGTATTGTCTATTGCACTGTCGTAAGTCTATATCTGTCCCAGATTTCTTAAACCAAATTCGAGCTTGTTGTTCAAGCAACGTATGACACCGACAGTTCTGACCAGCCATTGTTTCAGCGCACTCTGAACACACAAAGAGCATTCAACGACGTTCTCGGCATTTTAAACACACCTCTTCATTAAGTCATTTTACTTAACACACTTCTTGTTTGAGTACGTTTCTCTTCATACAGACCTCTTGAAGAGTCTTATTTCTCCCGTGCTTGCTAATTGCTGGAGCAAACCGCGATGTCCAAAGATGCATTGATACATCAGTATACGCAGCCATTGAATGCTCGTTGTTCGCAGTTCACAAACACTTATTTGCACATGCTTACCCAATACAGTTTTTGTTTGTTCCGCAGGAGAGGAAACTTGCGCTGAAGAGAAAATCTATGGAGTCTGTTCGTGTCGAGGGGTGTCAGCCTGTTGATATGTGGCCAGGGAAAACATATTTCAGGACATGAGTGTTTGACATCGGGGTCGATGTATCGGTTAATAGTGCTGGACCAACACATATGACACGACCAAGAGGGAGCCGAAATAACAGATCTGGCACCCCCAAACTCAATTAATTCAATTACGTGTTCGTCATAAGGTACCGCTGAGAATTTTTCTGACTGAATGTTTTGGATGTTGGCCAGAAAAGGGGGAGGGGGCTAGGAGAAAGACGTGGGGGAGGGAATACAGAGAGAGAGAGAGACAGACAGACAGACAGACAGACAGACAGAAACAGAAATATAGACAGATAGAAAGTGAGTGAAAGAGAGAGAGAGAGAGAGAGAGAGTGAAAGAGAGAGAGAGTGAGGGAGGGAGAGAGAGGTATGTGTTGAACAATTTCCCGTGCGTTCTAGCTGTTTTAATATTACACATTAGTATTTTCAGATGCCCATATTACAAACAGTGGCATTTCGTGACATGTTTTTACAGTATTAAATTCAACACAACGGGGAAGCATTAAAATGGTGCGTGTTAAATGTGTCTGCATGGTAATGTGTAGGTGTTAGTTTGAGCTTTGTGGGAATGTGATGTGTTTGCGAAAGGCTGTGTGTAGGGCAGGACAAGAGTAACATAATGCCTATGCAAAACATTGATAAAACGTTTGCTATTTAAGTGTTCGGATCCCATCTTCAGTATATCCCTCAGCGCGTGGCGACTGATAACACCAGTTCTGTACTGGTTTACTATTCTTGTTTGGCTACCTGTATAATGTATGCCAGTAGAATTGCAGCACTACACACTAGATGATATAAGACTTCTCTGTCTGTTGTTCGTCCATTGCGAGTGATGAAGACCACTTTCATTAGATGAAAGTGACTTGCGCAAGGACTTGGATTTAAGTGAGGAAGAGTTTCGCAATTCGTTGCCTCACTCTCTCTCTCTCTCTTTCTCTATCTCTTTCTCTCTCTCTCTTTCTCTCCCCTCTCTCTCTCTCTCTCTCTCTCTCTCTCTCTCTCTCTCTCCTGTGTCCATCTTGATCCATTTGCATGACAATGTAGAGACGATTGGAAATGGAATGTAAGGCATACGTAGTACTTACTACACACTTCTTCTTTTCGTTCTTCATGTTAGTAATTTACACATGAGAAAACCACAGGCTTTAATGGACGTTGTGGTTTGCATGTCCTCCATTGATTCATACAGTCCGGTTTCCGTTGGAACGACAACAGGACAAACCTGGGATTTTTCTACTATATGTAGAGAGCATGTCTGTAGGACAGGTTCTGTAGTCTGTGGTGCCTGTCCACATAGGCGAAGTTCTGAATCCCCAATCTTGAATTTCGTATACTTATGGCAGCAGAATCTGTTGTGTCAAGCATAAGGTATAAATATAATGGTCTGTGTGAGCTTGTTGATTGGGTCTTCAGCAGTGTGTTCTGGATCGCAAGTGCTCCAGTGGATTTTAATGCCTGCCTTGATCTGAGTTTTATGTTCATCATAAGTGTATCCTGGATCTGGCTACACATGATATGATAAAAACACAACTGTGCCGCCTCCACAACAGGGGTTGGCAGCAAGGTATACCATGTTCAACCAGATACTACATTTAACAGATACCACGTTCAACCAGATACCACATTCAACCAGACACCAAGTTCTACTAGATACCACGTTCAACCAGATACCATGTTCAATCTTCTAACATTCATAAATAGGGTACACGTTGTGGCTACATTAAGTATTATCCTGGTGTTACCTGCTGTCCTAGTTTAGTGGGCATTACTCACTGGTCAATCTTTAAACCCAAACTATTCCATACTGGTATGATATAAAACTAAATCATGTTTATTTGATGGCAAATCAAAGCCCAACACAATCATAAGGACCACACTCGGCGATAATCATATCACATCCGTTAGGGGGGATTACTCTACAGATGGCACAACAGTTAAATGAAGGAAAACGTATATATATATATATATATATATATATATATATATATATATATATATATATATATATATATATATATATATATATATATATATATATATATATATATATATATATATATATATAGGCACAACCAGAAAAACAATAATGCAGTTTGCACACAACAAAGCTAGCGCAGTGTCCCAATAAAGACAGCGGGATCCCTATGCTTAGAGGAAAAATTTGAGCTCTTGCACGAAAACGCATTCGAATCTAGCACGTCATGTTAATGCCACTCCAATGATTGACGGCATTGTAATGAAATGTATGTTAGTAAAACTGTTGTTATAGAAATATCGTAATCTCCTCCATGACACTCGCATTCAATAAAGGTTGGCGAGTTTTGCTGTCATTAATGTGCAGACCGATTGATGAGCACAGGGCTTCAATAAACAATGCTTTCCTCATTCAACGCAGCTTGAGATTGTTTTGACACTTGTGGAAATCACATTCATATCCATGCCTGACAGCGGACTGGCCCAACTGTTACACAGAACAAAAGTTACGTGGATTATCACGGCAGTGTAATTATTTTGCGTCATAGTGAGTGAGGTTTACCTGAATTGTGAGGTGGTGCGATGTTTTGTCACTCGTATGTCTATATTTGGCGAGCTTTACTTTCAGGTAGCATCTTCACTGTTGACATCTGTGTAATATTTATATTGTTTATACTCCGACAATAAAACTTCATCATCATTATCCTCGATATCATCACCAATACCACAACATCCACCACCACCATCATTAACGTTTATTGCATTGACATCATCATCACCATTATTACATATATATGTATATATGTATTTATATGTATGTATATATATGTATACATATATATATATATATATATATATATATATATATATATATATATATATATATATATATATATATATATATACATACATACATACATACATACATATATGTATAAATAGTAATAGCTCGGCTAACAAAGATAGTTGGTTCCATAATTAAATTAGTTAGCTGGAATCTTCTTTAGCAGAAATGTAAAGTGTCAAAATTAATTCACAACGCAGACGCTTTATGTGAATGTGCGCATCCACAAAAACATTCGTTAGCCGATTTTGACTCGATAATCGAGGCTGAAAATCGTTAAAAATACCTTCTTTAACCGGGACACTCGTTAGCCACAGTATCACTGTATATATAGTAAAGGTCCATTTTCCACGCCTTTCGGCGTATAGGACATATAGGGCTGGATCTAAATTTGTATAGATCTATCAGCACAAGATGGGTGATGTGGTCAGCCTCACACCGGCTGCCTTTACTTCCCGGGACGCACCTGGTACCCACTCAACCCTGGGTCGACCTAAGATCACTGTATATAATATATGTATATATGTATGTATGCTCTGGCCTATGTTAAAAAAGATTTATTTCTCGATTTTAACTTTACATGTGCTTGTCTGTCTGTCTCTCTCGCTCTCTCTGTGTATATTTGTGTGTGTGTGTATGTATATATATATATATATATATATATATATATATATATATATATATATATATATATATATATAGAAAGAGAGAGAGAGACATACACACACACACACACACACACACACACACACACACACACACACACATACATTTATAAAATGAAAGGAAAAGAATGCTAGTAACTTGCAAAGAATCAACGAACGCAAACGTGCACTTATTACTAATAGTTGTACGACTACAATGCTCTTTTCCTTGTCTCTCCTCTTGTCCAGTGTCTTACACCCTCAGACTTGTTTCTATTTCTTCATACTTTAAACAGGTCCCACTAGTGTCCGTTTGTTGTTAATTACAGTAAGGAATCAATATTTTTTTTAATTGCAGAAATTAGTAGCCGCCGCAGTGTAGCAGCTAGATGGTCGTCTGTGGATCTGACTGTTTTCCGTTCGAGTCCAAACGGAACCGGACTTCTCAACACCAGCAAAATTACATTGCCTCATATGTTTATTCATCCTAGACTGGGTACCAGGTGAAGTCCTGGGAAGTAAAGGAGGCCTATGTAATGTTGACCTTGGCTCCTATGTCTATTCACCCTTGAGTGGGTACCAGGTGAAGACCTGGGAGGTAAAGGTGGCAGGTGTGTTGTTGACCTCATCACCCAACGAGTGCAGACTGGTCTATAAAATATAGGTCTGGCCCTAGGTACCTATTATTCGAAAGGCATGGAAAAGGATGCTTCACTTTTTATATCATAAATTGTTTGTGTCGTTAGTTGTTGTAATTAAGTATAAATAATAGCACTAATAGTCTGTTAAAGAGCGCTTATTCGGCAATATATGAAGCTAGATCTTTAAATGGATGTTTGGATAAAGAAGACTGAACAGAGACGATATTAACACATTTGTCGGCACTTAGAAACACTTTAAGTTAGTAGACATATATTTCGCTATAGACCCTTCCAGAAGTAGAAACAGTGTATGTTAGTAGAGATATCTTTCGCTATAGATCGTTCCAGAAGGAAAAACAGTTTAAGTTAGTACAGATATCTTTCGCTATAGACCCTTTTATATAATGTAACAGTAACCGTTCGATGTCAGCCATAGAAATTTGAAATGTAACCTGTAGTCATGTCTATGACCATTCAAGGTACACAAACATATAGTTTTCATTTTGCCTTATTTGAGATATATGGGGGGGGGAGGAGGGGGAGGGTGATTCAAAGCAACCAGTCAGCAGCTTACTGTTAGTTAAGTAACGTGAACTATTTCATAACATCGGATTACACAAATGTCATAGGGTTTCACTATCAGGTGATCATCTGCAGCGTTAGCCTCCCTGGAGTTCAGATGACCACAATTTTTCATTGTAAGCAGGATTGGCTATCAAAATAATCCCCACGCATCGCTGCACGTGTGAACTGATTTTCAAACAGTCTTCATGCATGTGTCAATTACTTGGTATTCTAATTTTTTTTTTTGGGGGGGGGGGGGGGGGGGGGGGGGGGGGGGGTGGGGGGGGGGGGGGGGGGGGGGGGGGGGGGGGGGGGGGGGGGTTGGGGGGGGGGGGGGGGGGGGGGGGGGGGGGGTGGGGGGGGGGGGGGGGGGGGGGGGGGGGGGATTTACTAGTCTAATAGCCCGACTCGCTAGACTAGTTGGCTAAACCTGACTTCGCGACG